CCAGGTTCCTCCGTGGGTCAAGATCAAGGCCAGAATGTTAAACTGGGCAGGTCCATCGTTTCCTGGGTAAGGCACAGGTGTGTTACAACTTTAATGCAGGTACCTGCATTTACAGTGCATGTAGGTTGTTGCACATCTGTTCTATATGCTTTAGGGCACACGCCAAATCTATGTGCCCCTCTAAGCTTTTTCCCAGGAAATGACTTACGGAGGTCACACAGGTTTAGCTGCATTCCCATCCGGCACACTAAAATACCCCAACCTGTTACTCCGACCCCACAGCAGTAGATACTCTACTGGCCAAGGAAGTCCAGCTTGTTTTTTTCTAGCCCCTTCACCCATACACTTTTGCAGGCATGGCACACAAATCCCATCGGCGTTCTATCTAACAAATCCTCCAATAAAAAACGTCTTATGATTGATCTTTCGGCTCCTCAGTCTTCACATACACCAAGCATTAACTCACCTATCCCTGCTGAAGAATTCTCCCTCCATTATGCCACTGTAACGGCACCCCCAGGCATAAAAGGGGTTAAACCGCCGTTTAGTAGATCTTCCCTTCCAGAGATGCAGGCAAAGCTACTGCAGAACACCAATCTGCCGAACAGGAAACCATACGAATGCTGTAAACAGCCGAATAGGAAAAACCATACAAATAGGTTTACACTCCTAGCAGTCGAAATGGAACAGCATACAATAAATCCCCCCAAGAACGAGACAAAGCTCCGTGTTGAGGGTCAAGCAGTGAACAGCCAGAGCTGTGGGTTTATTGTGCTTATATACACATTCTTACACATTAGTACCACCCACAGGGTTTTGGAACACAACCAATAAACACATACAATACACTCAGACACTCCCACACAAATTCCTCCCCTCTGCTTGTGATTCAATTACCTTACACAATGGGTAATGTAATTTAGCACAAGGAGAGAAATACAATTTTTCCACATTATTCATAACTTGAAAAGTATGCATCACATTCACATATCAGCATTTTCAGAATCAGCATTCTCCAAATACAAACATACGTCAAAATCATACAAATTGGTCCAGTGGTTCAAAAGATAGATCGTAGTACTTTGTGACCACAGGAAGCATGGCTTTTCTGCCCAAAACCAGTTCCACAGAGTCTTCTATCCTGGAGATAATTGTGAAGTAATCCAATTATCTCCAAAGACAGAGGCAAAACTCCATTGAACACATGGCAGCAAAAGACAGTAAAATACAATAAAATACACAAGGTTACATTTATGACATAAAATACAGACATGCAACATATGCCCAGATAGCTTAGGTCTGAGTGCACATAATTACTAAATGGCGCTCAGAGCACACACATACAGTTCAATTGCCGTGGAGCCAAAGTCTTTCCCATAATCTTTCATTATACGAATGGGCTCCATGGCATATCTGGGGTATCACTGCTCAAACAGGGCAAGCACCAAATGACCTGGCTTTCTTGTCTTTGCAGGGAAAAATCAAGCCTTTTAACATGGGGCCATAATCCAAAGGCAACAGGCGAGCAACAGGGCTTCTCCAATGCAATGTGGCGAGATTGATCTCGTCACAAACGCCATACAGACCATTTTACACACGGGTAAGCACACATAAATAAATAGAGATATACAAAGACAGATCAATACATTCACAAAGGTATGTGAGATGATGAGAACTGCTTAGTAGAAAGCCTACCTCAGAGCTACACTATAGGGGGTAACCCAAGAAAATTATGAACAATAAAGGAGACCCTTGAAACAAGGGGATCCCTGGAGTAGCCACTGAATATAGAAACAAAGTAGTATGTTAGCCAGATAATGAAAAAAAGGGGGAGAAGGGAGAGAGGGGAAAGTTAGTAGATGGATAAGAATAAAAGGGGAATCAATAAAGAGACCCCCATAAGTACTCTGGGAATAATAAACCACTACTAATTATACAGCAAAAAGGAGAACCTGGTGGAGAAGGGGGCTAGCCCTATACACTGGTACAAGTATCCACATCTAAGGTTCCATAGGATGTATAATAAGTACAAAACCCCACTGATGTAAAGGTAGGTCCAAAAAACCTATACAGGAGAAAGTAGGAAAAGGGGGGAAAAGCTCTTAGGTGGGCAAGCCCTAGGTTCAAAACAGCCCCTCAAAGCCAAAAAATCCCTGCCTAAAAAAGTCCCTTCAAAATCCACAATCAAAAAGAGGCTAACTAAATAAGCCATACTAACTACCTAAGTGCTACCTCGTGTGAAAAAAAGATACTCATAAATAAAATTAAAATAAGCACTCGACGCGCGTTTCAGCGTGTATGCACGAATATCATTGGATGGTACTAAGATCAATCACAAGGGGGTGGAGAGGAGGAAAATCATACACAGACGGACGCACCACCCCTCAGCATTGCCGGGTCCCGAAATATAACGATCCCAAGGGATCTGAAAATTCTTTATTATGGGTAAGCACACATGGCTAAACAAGACGGATATCTCTAATGCATTCAAGTTGCTTCCAATCCACCCATCCCTGTGGCATCTTCATGGTATCAAATGGAGGGGAAATTACAACTTTTACACCAGATTGACTTTTGGCTCCAGGAACAGTCTGAAACTATTCAATATTTTCACTAAAACACTCTGCTGGCTGCTCCATAATGTCATTCGCTGTCCCACGGTGATTCACTATCTTGATGATTTTTATTGGTGGAACCTGGTACGCTGACTGTCAGCCCTCTCTGACTTAACTTGTCGATCTGCCGATGCTGACAAAGTAAGTGAGAGAGGCCCCTTTTGATGACGCGGTACATGCGTGCAGGAGTCATGAAATCAGGAGAGTTCTATGCAGCACAGCTCAGCGCACACGTACCTTTTTGGGGCGTGGTTATGATAATCACGCCCCCAAATCATATAAAAGCCCAGTCTGCCCTCAAAACAGTGCCCTGTTGTAGTTCCCAGTGTTCCTTGTGTCTCTAGTGTCCCTTTAGTCACTAGTATCCTTTGTGATAGTTCTTTGGTTTTGACCCGGCTTGCTCTCGACTATTCTGATTTCTGGTTTCCCTGACTCGGTTTCATTCCTCGTTATTGTGTATTTCTGGCTTCCATTGACCTTGACTTGTTTCTAACATTTCTTGTAGTTATCTCTTTTATCCGGCCATTCTAAGGACCAGCTTAGGGACTTTCTTTCAGTCTCTATTTCTACTGGTGGGTTTCCACTCTGCGTGTTGGGTTAATAATTACACTGACACCCCAAAGTATTTTCAGCACCACAGCTCTTTTTTCCACATTAGGCATTCCTATCTGATAAGACTCTTGGATCAGCTACCAGATTGGTGTTTTTGGGTATCACCTTGGACACGGTGGAATGTCAAGCAAGCCTCCCTGACGAGTAGTTGGTATGCGTCAGAGAGGAGTTGGACTGCTTCCTGCGGGTTTGTTCATGTACTTGTAGGGATCTTCAGTCTTTACTGGAATCCCTGAATTTTGCTATGCGAATCATCCCGCAGTGTAGGGCATTTATTTCCAGGCTTCCTTATCTCCTACCTAGTCTGTCTGATGATGCCACCGTTCTCCTTGACCCCCTGCCAGAGCTGATCTGCACATGTGGCTCCACTTTCTCTTATCTTGTCATAGTATTTCTATGTTTCTCCCACCTCTTTCTTACTTTTCACCCTTCACGCAGCAGCTCACACTGGATTTGCTGCAATTTTTGGAAACTTTTGGTTCAGGGGTTCCTGGCCGGCTGAGACACTCTCCTTGATGGCTTTCAAGGAGACCTCCACCTTGTTCAAAATGTACCCCATAGTAGCAGCGGCTCACACGTGGGGTCATCTTTTGACAGGGAAGACAATTACATGTCTGTGTGATAATGTTGCGGCTTTCGAAATCATTAATAAGGGACGTTCGTCGTCATTGACCATCATGAAATTGGTCCGTCGATTGACTTGGCTCGCTGCCACATTCCAATTTTTCCTCTGTTGTGAACAAAGCCCAGGTGTATGTGTAATATATAGATCACTGTATACTATCAGTATGTGTAATATATAGATCACTATAAACTATCAGTATGTGTAATATATAGATCATTTTATACTATCAGTATGTGTAATATATAGATCATTGTATACTATCAGTATGTGTAATATATAGATCACTGTATACTATCAGTATGTGTAATATATAGATCACTGTATACTATCAGTATGTGTAATATATAGATCATTGTATACTATCAGTATGTGTAATATATAGATCATTGTATACTATCAGTATGTGTAATATATAGATCATTGTATACTATCAGTATGTGTAATATATAGATCACTATAAACTATCAGTATGTGTAATATATAGATCATTGTATACTATCAGTATGTGTAATATATCGATCACTATAAACTATCAGTATGTGTAATATATAGATCATTGTATACTATCAGTATGTGTAATATATAGATCATTGTATACTATCAGTATGTGTAATATATAGATCATTGTATACTATCAGTATGTGTAATATATCGATCACTATAAACTATCAGTATGTGTAATATATAGATCATTGTATACTATCAGTATGTGTAATATATAGATCATTGTATACTATTAGTGTGTGTAATATATAGATCACTGTATACTATCAGTATGTGTAATATATAGATCATTGTATACTATCAGTGTGTGTAATATATAGATCATTGTATACTATCAGTATGTGTAATTGGTAAATTACTGTATACTGTCAGTATGTAGAAGATATATAATGTCTATTTAATGATCTATATCCCAGTCTCTGTGCCCCCAGTAATTACACACAGGGTTGATTGAGGTGAATTGTAGTTTGACACATAAATCATGATTTGTGATAATTATTAGTTAATTTATTGGAGCAGTCAGGGCCGTTGGTGGGTTAGAGATAGCCTAGGGCCCCCTGAAGCCCACCCAGCCTCATATTCCATCCTCAGCCCCTCTCCCCTCCCCCATCTCCCTGGGAAGGATCAGCTTTATACGGTCTGAGCTTGGCGGCAGACAGGCACAGTGCTGTATACAGGGCGGCAGATTGGCACAGTGCTGGGTACAGGAGCTGCAGACAGGCACAGTGCTGTATACAGGGCGGCAGATTGGCACAGTGCTGGGTACAGGAGCGGCAGACAGGCACAGTGCTGTATACAGGGCGGCAGATTGGCACAGTGCTGGGTACAGGAGCGGCAGACAGGCACAGTGCTGTATACAGAGCTGCAGATTGGCACAGTGCTGGGTACAGGAGCGGCAGACAGGCACAGTGCTGGGTACAGGAGCTGCAGACAGGCACAGTGCTGTATACAGGGCGGCAGATTGGCACAGTGCTGGGTACAGGAGCGGCAGATTGGCACAGTGCTGTATACAGGGCGGCAGACTGGCACAGTGCTGGGTACAGGAGCGGCAGATTGGCACAGTGCTGTATACAGGGCGGTAGATTGGCACAGCGCTGGGTACAGGGCAGCAGGGCATGGCAGTGATGGTAGTGGGCATGGTGGGTACTTGGCTATAGGCAGAGTGGGCAGTCAGCTATAGGCACTGTCAGCAGGCAGGCTGGGAGGTGGGTTCCAGGCACAGTGGGCATCAGGTAGGATGAGGAGTGGGTAGGTGGGAGTGGGCAGTGTGGTGGGTGGGCTGTAGGTTGGGTGGGGAAGGGCTGCAGGTAGGGTGGTTGGTGGGCACCGTGTTATCACTGCTCTGTATCCAGGGGTAGAGCAGCACTCAGTCCCTCACATACTCCATGCCACAATGGATTCCTGCTGGAAATGCCTGGCTGCCCTCCTCTCCACTCTGCTCCTTCATTGCATCCAAGGCATCAGTGCAGGTAGGTTCCCTTTCTGGCTCCATATTTGTATGATCTTAGTATGTTGCAGTCCATGTTTGTATGATCTTAGCATGTGGCATTCCATGTTTGTATGATCTTAGCATGTTGCACTCCATGTTAGTATGATCTTAGCATGTTGCACTCCATGTTTGTATGATCTTAGTATGTTGCACTCCATGTTTGTATGATCTTAGTATGTTGCAGTCCATGTACAGGCTGGATTAACACACATGCAGACCCTGCATTGCTCTCAGCCTGGCCATATATCATTGCTCTCAGTAGAATCCCTGAGATCCTACATTTGATAGAAAGGTAACATTGTATCCTGACAGTATGCTGGATTCTATCAGCTATTAACACGTTATCTGCCAAGGGCCCCATTGCAGGCTGCTCTCCATACAAGTGTATGTAAATTTTGGGTGATATGGCTGTCCAAATCCGGCACTCATATTAAGCCTTTATCTGAATTGGATGCACCTACATCTCTGGCAGTGAAAAGGTTAATCAACCTTTTTATCATCAGCAGTGAAGGTACATATACACATGTCCTGTGATGCTGTGTATAGTGGTATAAAGCATCCCTTCTTGGTCCCCACAGGCAAGGGAAGTTTCAAATCTAGATCACTAGTCAGTATTTGGGGCACTCTGCCCTACAATTGTTATATTGGGGGGTAAATAATAATGGGAGCAATAAAAAATAATAAACCATTTGATCATTCTGTGTAATCTAATTGTGATGATTCAATGGATCATGTTCCTTCTTTTCATGGTAATTTGTCTTATTTCTTGTAGAAATGTGATTTGGGATTCAATGTCCAGTGGGATCTGGGACTAATGAGCTAATGAGGGTCCCTAAAATGATAGAGAAGGGACGGAGGTGATTGAGTAGATAGGAAGCAATGTTGTAGATGCCAGTAACTAGGCAGATAGTAGGGCGTCAGCTGGTAACGGTGTATCTCACACGTGCCATGAATGGCTAATATCTGCCATTCTATGGACCCATCCAGCCTGACCCAGCCATGGCAAACCGTGGCACTGCAGATGTCTGTGAACTACATTTCTTATAATTCTCACTGTTCCAGGTGTCTCCAAGCAGGCAGTATCAGTATAAAATACAAGCCACGCTCTAATTACTAGATTAGTAATGCTTTGACCACTAAAATACCACAACGTGACAAGACGTATCTCGTTCCAGACTTTTATAAAATAATATACACATGTATTCAATTTACAGAGGAAAAACATACTAACAGGACTGTTGCCCAGAGCCGCTTGTCAGTAAGAATGTGTCACTGTGTATCATGACGTAGGCCTCGGAATCAGACAGATTCACATTGAGCTGCCTTTAATTTACCATCAGCCAGCTCCAGAGATCAGAATTCAAGCTGAATGGATCCCAATTGTACTGCGCTGTGGAATTTGTTGGCTCTTTATAAATGCCTGTAACAATAATAATAGTACTGGATGCATATTAACAATGCAGCTTACAGGGCCCAATCCTGGATCCACGATTTCTTTCAATCATCAAACCTTAAAAGACTCTTCGTATTTCTAAAGAAACTCTGTTCATTTCTTCTAGATTAAAAATTAATGTAAATAACAAATCTGGTTTTGCTTTATATCAGAAAATGGCGTCACATTCCTCTATCATTTGATGTGGGCTAACCCGGGCGTTTAACAAGATGGCATGAGTTTAACATAGAGAGCACGGCCCCTCCATTGCACACAGACATTTTCTGACAGATTGAGCCTCTTTGCCTGGCATCTCAGAGGGCCAGTGTGCCATTTATTGTTTATGGTCCCCTATAGAGCCTGGGTGGCCAAAAGGTAGATCCTCAGCTGTCATACAACTCTCAGGATGCTTTGCCAGCTGGGCATCTATCAAAGGTTGTATTTGTGTGCAGGGTCTTTGTGCTTGAATGTAGCGGTGTTTCTGAATGTAGTGTTGGTGTTTCACACATACTGCCACACATGCTCACTATCACACACATAGAGCAGCACATTACCATATACAGAAAGTTACTCATGCTGCCACAAACCCATACACAAATAGATATACACAGAATCCTGATATAAATACACCGCACTCCAAAAACTTTCTAAATCAATCCATGAGAAAAATCCTTAAAGTGCAGATTTAATAAAATATGTGTTACATGGCATATACTCACCAAAATAGGTGACAGGGACAAAAATACAACTTAATAAAACTAAAACACATACACAGTGGACGCGTTTCGCGTCTCCTCCTAGAGTGCTGAAGGGTGCATTGTGAGTGCTGAGGGAGGTATGGTGGGTGTTGGAGGAGGGGGGACATGGTCGGTGCTGAGGAAGGTATGGTGCTTGTTGGAGGAGGTGGCACATTATCTGTGCTGATGGAGGTATGGTGGGTGTTGGAGGAGGGGGGACATGGTCGGTGCAGAGGGAGGTATGGTGCTTGTTGGAGGAGGGGGGACATGGTCAGTTCAGAGGGAGGTATGGTGCTTGTTGGAGGAGGTGGGACATGGTCGGTGCTGAGGGAGGTATGGTGGGTGTTGGAGGAGGGGGGACATGGTCGGTGCTGAGGAAGGTATGGTGCTTGTTGGAGGAGGGGGGACATGGTCAGTGCTGAGGGAGGCATGGTGGGTGTTGGAGGAGTGGGGACATGGTCAGTGCTGAGGGAGGTTTGGTGGGTGTTGGAGGAGGGGGGACATGGTCAGTGCTGAGGAAGGTATGTGAGTGTTGGAGGAGTGGGGACATGGTCAGTGGTGAGGGAGGTTTGGTGGGTGTTGGAGGAGGTGGGACATGGTCAATGCTGAGGGAGGTATGGTGGGTGTTGGAGGAGGGGGGACATGGTCAGTGCTGAGGAAGGTATGTGGAGTGTTGATGAGTGGGGACATGGTCAGTGGTGAGGGAGGCTCAGGGTAAGCTGGGAGGAGGTGGACATGGTCAATGCTGAGGAGGTATGGTGGGTGTTGGAGGAGGGGGGACATGGTCAGGCAGCTGAGAGTGGAGGCTGGGTGGGTGTTGAGGAGGTGGACATGGTCGGTGCTGATGGAGGTATGGTGGGTGTTGGAGGAGGTGGGACATGGTCAGTGCTGAGGAGGAAGGTATGGTGCTTGTTGGAGGAGGTGGCACATTATCGGTGCTGAGGGAGGTATGGTGATTGTTGGAGGAGGGGGGACATGGTCAGTGCAGAGGGAGTTATGGTGCTTGTTGGAGGATGGGGGCATGGTCAGTGCTGAGGGAGGTATGGTGGGTGTTGGAGGAGGGGGGGACACATTCCAGGCTGATGGTGGGGTGGTGCTTGGAGGAGGGGGGACATGGTCAGTGGTGAGGGCGGTATGGTGAGTGTTGGAGGAGTTGGGACATGGTCGGTGCTGAGGGTGGTATGGTGGGTGTTGGAGGAGGTGGGACATGGTCAGTGCTTAGGGAGGTATGGTGAGTGTTGGAGGAGGTGAGACATAGTCGGTGCTGTGGGAGGTATGGTGGGTGTTGGAGGAGGGGGGACATGGTCAGTGATGAGGGAGTAATGTTAAATTTTTATTGAGATGAAAAGGTATGGTGGGTGTTGGAGAAGGGGGGACATGGTCAGTGCTGAGGGAGGTATGGTGGGTGTTGGAGAAGGGGGGACATGGTCAGTGCTGAGGGAGGTATGGTGAGTGTTGGAGGAGGTGAGACATAGTCGGTGCTGTGGGAGGTATGGTGGGTGTTGGAGGAGGGGGGACATGGTCAGTGATGAGGGAGGTATGGTGGGTGTTGGAGGAGGGGGGACATGGTCAGTGCTGAGGGAGGTATGGTAGGTGTTGGAGGAGGGGGACATGGTCGTTGCTGAGGGAGGAATGGTGCTTGTTGGAGGAGGGGGGACATGGTCAGTGCTGAGGAAGGTATGGTGCTTGTTGGAGGAGGTGGGACATGGTCGGTGCTGAGGGAAGTATGGAGGGTGTTGGAGGAGGGTGACATGGTCGGTGCTGTTGGAGGAGGGGTGGGACATGGTCGGTGCTGAGGGAGGTATGGTGCTTGTTGGAGGAGGAGGGACATGGTCTGTGCTGAGGGAGGTATGGTGGGTGTTGGAGGAGGTGGGACATGGTCGGTGCTGAGGGAAGTATGGAGGGTGTTGGAGGAGGGGTGACATGGTCGGTGCTGATGGAGGTATGGTGGGTGTTGGAGGAGGTGACATGGTCGGTGCTGAGGGAGGTATGGTGCTTGTTGGAGGAGGAGGGACATGGTCGGTGCTGAGGGAGGTATGGTGGGTGTTGGAGGAGGAGGGCTTGGTGAGTGCTGAGGCAGGTACAGTGGTTGAAGAAGGGTGGCATGGTTGGTATTGGCAGGGCCATCTTTTTTTTAAAATGTTTAATTTTTATTGAGATGAAAAGTTTGGATTGACACAATTACAGACATTACACGTTCTACACTTGGTACATAAAATAGAGAACGCAAGGTGATGACAGTTTTCAGTGGCATTGAACAAAATATATCCTTGTGGCAGTGATACAATATTGCGTTTTAGTTGACATTAATGACTTTGTTATTAGTGGTGAGTATTGCCCTGTTTGTGGTACCTGGTAGGTTGGGCACACTCTACCCCTGGGGAGCAGCACCCAGTCCTCTGCTCTCATTTGGGGTGGGCCGGATAGTTAACAGCTAGCCATGCATTAAACATTTTTTTTTTTGCGTGTCGTGTGGGCTTGAAACTAATTGCCCTGCTCATATCTCGTGTTTTGGGGCTTGGTAAAGCAACACAAGCCCTTATTTTGTTGGGGGGTGGGGGTTAACTGGGAGAGG